TTTTTTTCTATTTGTGGTATTGTGAAGGAAGGTCTACCTAACCACCCCCCAACCCCCCGAGCACCATTGGGGGGTGGGGAAATTTGGGGAGTTAAAGTCCACCCATCTTCAAGCAGCCAAAGTTGAGAAACCCTGGGTTAAACCAACATCATCCTGTCTCATCATTCTTGGAGGCCGTCTTGTCGCACATTGTTGGACTGGGAGGATCCTTGTAAAATAAACGTAGAGTTTCAGCCAACTCCCCTGAATCTCCGGCCATCCAGCATTACTGCTTTCCCCCCCTTGCAGAATCGCAATCCCTTGGTCGCCGTCTACTACACCAACCGCGCCTTATGTTACCTAAAAATGCAACAGCACGACAAAGCGCTGGCCGACTGCAAGCATGCCCTGGAGTTGGACGGGCAATCAGTGAAGGCACATTTCTTCCTGGGACAGTGCCAGTTGGAGATGGAGAATTATGACGAAGCCATTGCTAACCTTCAAAGAGGTGAGTCGGGGAGGTGGGCAGGCAAGTCGCCGGCTCTGATGAAGGCAGAGCAGAGAATCCCTTTGTGCCTGGAGGAGTGAGTCTGGGGCCCATGGACAGATCAGTGCCACAAGAACTTCCCTCATATGGTGCAGTGTGTCAGTGGACCACAGTGCACAATTGATTGCAATCTTTAGTTGCATTGTATTGTACAGATTGGCCTTGTTTAGTGACTGCCTCATTTAGTGACCGTTCGCCATTACGACAGTGATGAAAAAGTAACTTTGCGACCAATCCTCACATTTACGACCTTCTCAGGTCTGTAAAGCAAAGGAAAGCTGAAGGAAGATTGTAAGCACAGTTGTGGATTCACTTAGCAACTGCTTCGCGTAACAACTGAGTTGCTGGTCCCAATTGTGGTCGCTAAACGAGGACTCCCTGTATATGCTAAGGTGTGTCAGTCGTAGTGTTGTCAGTTGCAGAATGCAATCAATTGAATCTAGTCAATTGCAGAGCACTAAGGTTTGTCCAGATAGCCTTGGGTTCAGGCCCTTCCTGCTTAACTACTATTGAGGATCAATAGTAGTTGATCCTCAAAGGGGGGACAAATCTTATTCCTTTTCGCTGACAAGCAGGTGGAAACCTCCAGAAATTTGGCCACATTTTGCACCAATGCCAGTGAAACATTTGCCTTGTAGGCAAATTTTTTGTATTACATTTTCTATTTTCTTATGCTCTAAACCAGTGTTTCTCAACCTTAGCAACTCTAAGTTGTGTGGACTTCAACTCCCAGAATTCCCCAGCTCCATGCTGGCTGGGGAATTCTGGGAGTTGAAGTCCACACATCTTAGAGTTGCTAAGGTTGAGAAACACTGCTCTAAATTATATATTCATAAACTCATTTGGGGAGTTTTTTCATCTTATAATGCTGGTCTCTGGAATGAACTCTGTTCTGCTTTGTAGCATCAGAAGTAAATGCATTTGTGACATTAAAAAATGATGGGCATCAAGGAACAAATATAATATGATAAGGAAAAGGTCATACGAATAATGTCAGGATGAAATGTTAGGAAAGAAAAATAATGCAAAAGAAAATTGTACTAGGAAAAGAAGTTTAAACTATACTAAGCAATTAAAGGAATTGAGAAAGTAACATAAGGATGAAAGCAACATTGGGTTGAAATAGACTGGAATAGTAAAACAGCAACAATAAAATGATATCACAGCAAATTAAAATATTGCACGCTCCTAATTCCTTCTCACTTGGTTAATGAAAGCATTCTAAGTCCCATCCCCTTTAATCGCATACGGTAAAATCAAGAGAGGCACGTCTACCAAGATATGGTTGTAAACAGCTTTCATAAGAAATGAAGAGAAATTCAGAAGTGGGTGTGTTGGAGGAGGTGTGAAAGTCAGGGAGAGTCAGCCAAAATTGAAAATAGAGATTGATTTTCAGTGAACAGAATTAGGAAGCCAAAACCAAAAAGGGAATAAGTTGGTAAAGTCTTGGGGGGGGGGGGAAAGGGCAAGGCGAGAAAATGGAACTTATTATGGTTGGTCGCAGAGTCAGCCAGATGTTTTGACTGGATTTGGCATTTTTATCCACCTGTCGAGTCCTTCCCAAGGACCTGGGATAGGCAGATGTTGTTTGATGGGGTTAAAGGGATTGTTGCAGGATGGAAGCCGTTCCAAGTCAAGCTGCCTCTTGCAGTCGACTGGTGGTGATTCTGTCCTTGCTGATGGTCTTCCAGATGTTTTGGGATTGCACCCAAGGCGCCTGTTACTCTTGGTACTGTCTTTGCTTTCCTTTGCCACAGTCGTCCTACTTCTATTCGCAGGTCTTTGTATTTTGTGAATTTCTCCAGTTCTTTCTCTTCTCTTCTGCTGTCTCCAGGTGTGGCAGTGTCCACCATCCAGACTTTTTTGTCTTTCTTATCCACAGTTGTTAAGTCTGGGGTGTTGTGTGGCAGGTGCTTGT